TTCAACAAAACAACACAAACAAAAAACAAAAAAGAATTAATAAAGGAATTATCGGGTCTTGACCTACATCCTCAATCTCCCAAATGAGTACACAGCAAAGGCTTAAATAAAATGAGACAGGTGGTATGATTTTAGGGCTCCAGGAGGGTCAAAACCCTTTAGCTGAGCTTGAGACTCTAAGGGCTAAGACAAAGACCTCTCTGGACTGCCCAGCCTAGGTCCAACAACAAAGGACAGGGAAACCAAGGAAAGCACGGGAAATGAGCAGGCCCCCAGGAGCCACCCCAAAGATTTCTCTGAGCAGCAAACCATGCCAGTTCAGGAGAACGGTCCCACCTTCAAGACAACATGCATGGTAGGAGTGAGACGCAGGAATGAAATTCCTTCAGCTGCAGTCTCTATTTACTTCATTCGTGTTGGAGCCAAGGTGTCTGCAGCTGTGGCCTTATCTTGCCCTTTGAGGTATCTCTGGCCTCATAGGCCATTACAGGCCTCAGCCAGGACCAGTGATTCATAAAGGTTAATTTACTATGAATCAGCTCCCATCTCCAGGCAAGGGGCCTAGGCCTGGACAGACTCACAGTAAAACACAGAAAGCCAATTAGTTAACTTTAAATCCTGCTCAGAGCCACTTCATGGTGGTCTCCAACAGGGAACAGTTTGTAGATTTCTATTCTTGTCATATCTTTGCTTTTGGTATGAGTATTACTGGCCTCACTGAATGAGTAGAAAATATTCCCCTCTTCTATTTTTTTTTTTTCAGTTCAGTTAGCAAAGAACTATTTTAACAACTTTAAAAAATATTTGATAGAATTTATAAGTGAAGCTATATTATTGTGTTTCGGTTTGGGAGGTTTACCTGACATGTTCTTGACTAATAGTGTACTAAATTTTTAAAAAAAGTTTTGGTACTAAGTTATTATATAATAGTTTGGGTACATTTACAATTTTAATTATTGCATTGATCTTTCAGTCACTATATCCATTAATTCCACAATGCCTTTTCCTTCAACACAGGGCATTTTGCATGCTATGCAAGCACTCTATCACTGAGCTACAATCCTGACTCTATTTACTTATTTATTTATTTATATTTTGAGACAAAGTTTTACTAAGTTGTCAGACTGCTGTTGAACTTAAGGTCTTTTTGCCTTAGCGTCCTGAGTAACTAGGATTGTTTTGGTTTTTTTTTTTTTTTTTTGTCTTTTTCATTTTTATCGGTACCAGGGATCGAACTCACAACTGCCTGCTTGCAAGGCAGGCGCTTATGCTACTGAGCTAAATCCCAGCCCCGTGAGTAACTAGGATTATAGGCATCCTCCACTACCCTTGCTTGGTTCATAATATTTTATATATAATAGGTTTATAATACCTTTAGTCTAGAATGCAAATTTCTCCACATTAATTTTATTATTTTAAAGCACAAATTTTTAAAAAAGTAAAACCTTGACTTTAGTGCAGATATAAAATGACAGAACATTTATATTTCATGCAGATATCAAGATTTTATATGGCTCATAAATTAATGAGGGAACCAGTAAGATATTACAATAGGCTTGAAAGAGAATTCAGACAACAAATATCAAAACAGATGAATGTCAAAACGAACTTAAATTAGATACAAGCTGGCTTATTGCACAAGTAGGGGAGGGAAATAAATGTCCTCCCAAACATAACTCATTTGCATCTTATCAATTATCTACAATTTAAAGAATTGTAAATTAATTCAAAGACATTAACAATCATAGAAAAACCCAGAAATCAGATAACCTACACAATGCCTAATATTACACTGAAAAGTCCAATGATCTTTTTGGTCTATTTAAAAACCCTTTATTCCTCTCCCAATAATTAAAAAAGAAAGAAAGAAAAGAAAGGAAAAAAAGAAAGAAAAGTACTATATTTTCATACATTTTATAGTCTTCAGAATTGTGCTAAAAGTTAACCTAGTACTGTTTTAAATTTCTAATTATGCTTAGAGGATTTCACATAGTTCTGCTTCTATGAAAAAATATTTAAGATTTTTTTTATGCTTCCTTTAAATTTTGGAGCTTTTCATCATTAGACTTTGAACAATTCTCATTAAGCTCAAAGTCATTCATGTCTCCTTTATAATATCTAACTTACTATTGCTGGAACAGAGACTCTTAAATTATGAGTTTTGTATTCACCATCTTTTTCTTTTTGGTCTTTTTTGTTTTTATCGGTACCAGGGATTGAACTCACGACTGCCTGCTTCCAAAGCAGGCGCTTATGCCGCTGAGCTAAATCCCCAGCCCCTGTATTCACCATCTTATTAGATTCTCCAAGTTCTGATTATTATAGAATTTACCTTTTTAAAATATTTATCCTTATAGTTAATTATTTGAGAATGGAAGTCATTTAAGTGTTCATGGCTTGGCTGAGAGCTAGGTACGTACTTCTAAAGACAGTTTATGTGTTGGGTGGGGTCTGGTAGCAATTTGAGACACCCATGTTAACGATTTCTTGGAATTAAAACTACTTAGATTAGAAAGGCAGACGGGCAGAATTAGATTGGCCATTTGCTGCAATAGCTCCTCTGCAGGGAAGTGAATAGTTAACAATAACACAGAATGCAGTTGTACAAATATGTGGCCGGTGCAAATTATTTAACTTCATATAGTCATTTCCCAAATTACTGGCTACCATTTGTTCTGGTTAATCAAGAATGACCCCCTCCCACAAAGTTATACACTCAGAGGCAGGGCCTTTGGAGGGTAGTTGGATCGTGGGGATCCTGTGTTCACTGCTGGATTCATCTACCTGTGAGTTCAGCCACTGAGAGTGCGGTTGGGAGGTGGGGCCTGGTCAGAATGGGTGGGTCACCGGGGTCTCACCTGGAAGGGTGTATCTCCCTCCTTGGCTCCTCCCTTCTATCTGCTTCCTGGGTACCATGATATGAGCACCTTTCCTCCACCACACCCTCCTTTCTTGTGGGTTTCTACTTTGGAGGCAGCTGAGCATGGACTGAAATTGCTGAAATTGAGTCAAAATGAGCGCCTCCTCTTTTAAATTGTGGGTGATGGGTCTTTTGCCCCACCAAGGAAAGTGACTGACGCAATATTGTTACAACATGTTATGACTTAAGATTTATCCCTTAGCAACTGGAATGTTCAGGTTTCCCAACAGGGTTGGCGCCCTGCCATAGCAGGAAGGATTCTCAGCTACAGGAACATCTGGAAGTGAGGCTATTATTCAGCTGATTTTCAATGAAGATGAAAATCCATTCTAAAAAGAGATACGGCAGGATTTATGGAGTTGGGGACACACTATCCCACTTGGTATTTGAGAACACAGCAGCAGTGGGAAAGCTCATGCCCACCTGTCTCTGAAGCAGATTATAGGACCCTCACTGGCAAGGTGCCCTTCCTATGCTGGGAGGATGGGCACATCTTATCTCTGATGACAGAGGGAGAATCTGAACAAAAGAGGACTCTCCCCCACCATTTATTGCTATCCAATTGTATTCCCTGTCTAATCATTATCCACAACTATCTACTTCTCTATCAAACCTAGCATAAAAAAATACAGCTTTCCCTAATTCTTTGGTTCATTTCCCAAGTCTCCTTTGTTACATAATGCATTAAATAAATTAATGTTTTCCTCTTCTTGACTGGTCTCTTGTTTACAGAGGCTTCAGCCATGAACGTATCATTGGGAAAGGAAACAGTATTCTTTTCTCCCTTACGTAATATATACCAGCCTAGAGAGAAGAGTACGCTTGGCTCCTAAAAATGTACTCAGGCCGTCTCCGATGAAGGACCTTTTGCAACTCATCATGTTTACGGAGGAAGTTCTGTTCTAGAAGCTTCTCCGCATCTCCTGTCTGTCCCCCTAGTTTCCTGGCCTCTTCTACTGGATTGCGCATCATTCAGGCCCCCAGTCTTACCTCCCTCACTGTGTCAGGGAAGATCTTGTCTGAGTCAGCACCTCTCACAGCACTAACCCATACTTTGCAGGCTGTAGGCCCACAATAGATATGCATTCTCTAAAAAGGATATTTTGCTAATCAGTACCTGTTATAGTCTACTGACAGTCATAAAATGCGATGAACTTCAATTTTTGTTGTGCATTCCGGAAAACTATACTCCCTTCAGAAAACGTGTGACACTTTAGCTAGTGCAAACTCCAGCTGCGGGTTTAAAGACGCTTCTAGCCCAAGGACAGAAGGCCACGTTCATCTTTCTGCACTGTCTAAAGCCAGCAGTAGCTCGGTAAAGGGAACCTCGGCCACCTAGTGGGCTCCTTCTCCGGACCTCTTTCTCTTCCTTTGCTGGTGATCTGCTTCAGGCCCAGACCTTTCATTTTAGCTGTTTGCGCCCACGAATACCTCTCATCCTTTGGTGACCATAAATTCTCAAAACCGGGCCACGGAACCCTCTCTTGCTTCCAACCCTTCTGCTTCTGTGGGCTCCTAAACATGTGGGTTCCTAAGAGTTTCTCACTTTTGAAACTCCAGGAAGGAAAATGTACGGGGCACAAAGCGGCATTTAAACTTGCAAAAGTCGAGCCACAGTTGGCTGCAGAGCAAGAGCCCCTCAGGGCGGCGGGATCCGGGCGCACCTTCCAGGTACCCCGGGCGCAGCGGCCCAGGGCCGGGAGGCCAGGCGCGCCCCCCACCGGGCCCGGGGCGCGTGCGTGCTGCAGCCGAGGCGCGGACCCGGGGCCGCCCCAAAGCCGCGGGCGCGTGGGGGGCGGCGCGCGGGGAGGGCGCCGGGTCTGGGCGGAGGCGTGGAGGCTGTGACGCGCGGCGCGGCGAGGGCCAGAACGGCGGGCGCGGTGGCCGCGGTCGCAGCCGGATCCCAGAGCTGCCGCTGGGAGGCGGCGGCGCAGCGACCCGGTCCCGGGAGCCCAGCTCGGGGCGGCGGAGCCGGCAGGGCAGGCGGGGCGGGCGCGCAGGGCTGGGGGCCCGCGGGAGGGCGCCGCCGGGCGGGAGGCTGGGGGGCCGGGGCCGGGGCCGCGTCCCCGAGCGGGTCGGGGGCCGGGGCCGGGGCCGGGGCACGGCGGCGGCGGCCCGCGCGGCTGCCGCGGCGGCTCGGGAGGCCCGGCGGGAGCCCGGCGGGGCCATGGCCGCGGGGAGCATCACCACGCTGCCCGCCCTGCCCGAGGGCGGCGACGGCGGCGCCTTCGCGCCCGGCCACTTCAAGGACCCAAAGCGGCTCTACTGCAAAAACGGAGGCTTCTTCCTGCGCATCCACCCCGACGGCCGCGTGGACGGGGTCCGGGAGAAGAGCGACCCCCACAGTGAGTGCCGCCGGGCCTCCGGAGCCCGGCTCCCCACCCGCCCCGGGACCTGCGGCGTGCTCGCGGTGCTCGGCGGTTTCGGGGTCACCTTTGCGCGCTGCGGGGTCTGGTTAGCAGTCCCCGGAGCTTTGGGGTGCGCCCGTTTCCCCCTGTAAACTAGTCCCTAGGGCTGGGTCTGCAGGGTCCTCCTTGGCGCAGACCACCTGTCGCGTCGGGGTTGTCTCGGCCCAGAGAGGGGAGCGGGCGGGGAGCGGAGGGACCGCCCCGAATCGCCGGTCCTTCACTGGACGCGCACCTTTGCACAGACCTGCCCGGAACTTCCAACTCACTGAGACCCCGAGACATTCATGCATATTACTCTCACACATTTCTCTCTCTCTTTTTTTTTCCCCCATTGATGAAAGCCGAAGCAGCCCAGATAAAGCAAAAACATAGAAACAAACCGTTCCCCTGGTTTTGATTATGAAGTGCGACAAATTTTTGTTCCCGTAGTGAAGAGTACAAACACCTTCCACCTGCATTTAATAGCTTTGGGACTTTGAACAGCGTTTAGTCCCAGAGCCAGTTTTCTTATTCTTAAAGTGGCCGTAGTATGCGACTTGCAGAAGGTTTAAGGATGAAATGAAAGTTGCACTTTTGCTTTCCATAAAAAAGAAAAGCAATCTATTTGCGGCTATACACACATAACATTTGTGGTTCTCAAACACTGGAGTTTCATCAGACCACCTGGAGCTGATTTATAACATTGCTGGATCCTGTTTCCGCAGTTTCTCAGTCCGTAGGCCTGCGGTTGGGGCTGAAAGGTGGCCTAACAGGTTCCAGGTGATGCTGATCTGAGAACCATGCCTGCAGAACCTCTGGTCTAGAGAAAGGAGGAAGAAACGCACATAAAACTCTTAGTACTCTAGTATTTGGAATGAGAGTGAGAACCAACGTGTATTTTAAGCTGCTCTATAAATTTGTTTTAAAAGCTCCTGCGTGTTCTGGCATTCTTTCCATTGTAGGTCCCAGGGAAAGAATCCGATTCTCCCTTTGCTCCAGAAAAGTGTGGTGGGGTGTCAGTTTCATTGAAGGGAGCTACGAAATGGCACTCCATTACTCTGGGAGTGGGGAAAAATGCTCTACCATCAAAAAGTTGACCTAGGAATGGGAAATACACTTTTATATTTGCTAGATCTTTAAAAAAAATTAAATTTGCTCTCCAACTGATACATAAAAAGATAAAATTGTACATATTAATGGAGTAACATGCATGATACATTGTATAATGTTTAAATTAGGACAACCATCCATTCACTTTTTTTATGATAAATACTTAAAAATCCTAGCTTTTTGAAATATACATTATAGACCACTACTATATTGCTACAGTGCAATAGTCTCTTAGGACTTCACCCTCCTATGTAACATAGTATTAATTAGGTCTTTCCTACTTCCAAATTAGGAACTAAGAAAAGATGATGAAGATCTTCATATTTTTAGGCCTGTTATAATTTTTAAAATTTATCACTTTATGCACTAAAACTGAAAAGATGCTTGTAACTTAATGTAAGAGTTAATGCTGTTTCTCTGTTCTAGTAGGTTTCAGCAAATAGAGCTCTGTGTTTGAAGTTTTTTTTTTTTCTGCAGTTATTAGCTCAACTAATTTTAGGGCAAGTTGCATACGTATTCCATTTAGTTTTATTCTAAAACTAAAATTTGCTCATAAAAGCATATCATGACTAAAGGGCAGAAGAATTAACTTCCAAATTAGGTTCTTAGGACATCTAATACTCTTAAAATACTCTATTCATTGAATCATTTTTGTGGAGAAGGGTTTTTTTGTTTATTTGTTTTTTTGGTACCAGAGATCAAACTCTCCTTGCACTGGTGAGGCAGGTGCTTTCACCACTGAGCTAAACCCCAACCCCATTGAATCATTTTTTATTGAAGCTGCTTGCTTTAGAATAAAACTATGCAGCAGCTAGTGAGTGGGGATACTTCTGAATTGCATACCACATTATTATGCTTGCAAAAACAGCTGTTAATCTTTTCTTTCCAACTATGAATTGGATTCATTACTGTAATCTTACTTTAACTCAGGTAGTTAAATGGGAGTGATTTTGCCTCCTATGGTACATTTGACACCATGTGAAAACATTTTTAGCTCTCCTAACCTGGAAGTATCCTCCTGGGCAACAGGGTAGAGATCAGGGGTACTGCACAGGGTAGTGCCAAAATTTTTCTGACCCCAAGATATCATTAATGCTGATGTTGGGAAACCTGCCAACTTTTAAGGAGCAAAAAACAAGTTATTAAATGTGGAGTGGAATAACTTGCCCAGATTTGGGTAGACTACTAATTTTGTTTTAAAGGAGACCTTTTACCAGATAATTTACGTCTACAAACCCGAGACTGATGAATTGAGATCATGTCTGTGTAGCCTAACCTAGATGTAAGGTAAATGCAGTATAGTCTGCTCTCATGTGCATGGTATATTCATAATTGACCAAATCAGGGAGAGACTAATGGGGAAAATAAAAGGAAAAAAAAATGAGTGTGGCATGATATAAAATGTCCTCTCAACCACACATCTCCCCAAACAAAACCAGCCAGCAAACATGGAGAAATGAAAGCATATTTAATGGTAACCACAATTTCTCACAGAATTATAAGTTACGTATCTAGATTTGTTAGGAAAGTTGAAAAGCTCATAGCCTCATTCCTTAAACTGTTTGGTCCAGTTGACCTGAAAACCTGTCATTGGTGATTTATTCCTTTGACACCATGCTTTCTGCATAGATGTCTTCTAAAATACGAATAACTGAAAGACTGAATTCATTTGTAGCATTTACTGTGAGTCAAATCATGGGTGTGCAGTTTCTTCCCCCAATGCTGGCCAGAAGGACTGGTTTACAGGGGGGTGCTTTGAAGTCTGTGGAGTGAATGGTGAGGCGCTGATGGAAGGGGGTGTCAGGGGCAGAGGAGGATGAAGCTGGAGAAGGTGTGGGACAGGGTCCAAAAGGAGAGATGGAAGGTGAGTGAACGCAAGTTTCGCATCACACCTGAGTATTCTCTCGAGTTTTCACTCAAAAGAGCCAATTTTCCGGCACCTTCTTACAGTCCCAGAGTAATTTTCACATGAAAGCCTTGAAAAAAGCAAAGATGTTTCAGTAAGAAAAATACCTGGTTGCAGAGCTTCTGCTTCCTAGTATATAAGATGCACACCTGCCTTTGTTTTGGTGTCCAGTCTCAGCAGGCCTCCCCTGAGGCCCAGGGGAGTGTGTAACAGCAAGGGTGTGCTGCAAAGCCGAGAACCATGTAGAGTTTCAGGAGAGAACATTTTTTCCTGAGCAGCTTGTGTAACACGTGGTGTAGTATAGTAAATGAATGTGTACTGCTTATGTCCATTTGAGCAAGCAATTTATTTCAGATTGCTCTTATTTAGGGGAAAATGAAGGTAGAAGTGCTAGGTCTACCCTTGAGCTTCTCCTAACAGGTGACTGCCTATTGGCCATGCTACTCCAGGCATCAGATGACACTGACTTGGAGAGGCTGAGGGATCTGTCCAGTGTCCTGTGGAACCAGGGTGGGGTCCGGGTTGGCCTGACTCCTGTGCTGTTTGTCACTGTTGCATTTTGCACGGTGTCACCCATAAGAAAACATGGGCCTGTGATATTTAAATGAAGGTCTTAGAGTTTCTAGTTCACCAGTCTCAGCTTAAAAGAGGAAACTGGTGGCACATGCCTGGCATCTCAGCTCTAGGAAGACTGAGGCAGGTTTGCAAATTTGAGTGCTGCCTGGGAAACTTAGACCTTATCTCAAAGGAAAAAAAAAAAGAGTTATATCTTTGTGAAAGCTCTAGATTCAATCCCTAGTATGACGGTTAAACAGACAGACAGACAGACAGACAGACAAACTAGTTGCATGAGGTTGCTTGTTGATTATTCTGGCTAAAGTTCTTGCCGCCTGGCCCCTTGTGTCCTAGTTCTACCCTCCTGCAGCCCTCTATGCTGTCTTCCATTCAGTCACTGAGAGCGCCTTCTGGCCTGACTTTGGCTAGATCTCCTAGAACTAGATATTGAGTTTGTAACCGCTCTGAGGAGTTTTCATTAGTTCATAGTTCCTCAGTTGCCTTGGGTTGTATTTGGATAAAGTTGCCTGACCTTCAGGTAACTATTGCCCTTGGGTAAATGGAACTTTTGGTTTAATAATACTAGATCTCTCTCTCTCTCTCTCTCTCTCTCTCTCTCTCTCTCTCTCTCTCTCTCTCCCCCTCCCTCCCTCCCTCCCTCCCTCCCTCTTTCCCTCTCTCCCTCTCTCTCTCTCCCTCTCTTTTTTTGTACCAGGAATTGAACTCATGACCTCGATCTTGCCAGACTGGTGCTTATGCCACTGAGCTAAATCCCTGGCCCTAGATCTCTCTTTTTACCAGCTTCAGTAATGTCTGGTAGTGGGTCCCACTAACTTGCTTTAATACACATGATACTTACTGTAATGCTGTTTGTTTGCAGTAAACAAATGATGTCAGGATCTAATAACTTGTTTAATCCTGGAGATCGTGTAATTGGTTTACCAATGAAAGGATGCTTCATTGTGAGTCACAGGTATTACCACACCTTGGGAGACTTTTAAAATAAATTTGATGCCAGGTGACTTCAGCCTAGGAAAGGCAACATCCCTTCATGACATGCCCTGAGGACTTTTTTTTGTGTGTTTATAAAATGACCATTATGTAATTAATTAGACTTTGACAGTGGTGTAACAGTCAGGTTCTATATGTATTCTCTTTTGGATTTAAGACCCCATTGTACATGGATGGCCATGATTTTAAGGTTTAATTTGAAAATAGAATGTTACAGATATAATTAGAAAAATAAGAGCCATTTGTTATGAGCAAAAACGTGGCTCTTCATCTTCACATTGATTATAGAAATGGCCATCCGTGATGCTGAAAAGGCAATTTAAAGTTCACATTATTGGAACTTCCATTTTAAGCCACAAGAGGTCATAGGACAAGA